GGGGGGGGGGGGGGTAGCAGGGTGCGACGAGGTTTTGAGGGGTGCAGAGTGGGGCCGTGTTGCAGTGGTTGGGGATGCCAGGTGTGGGAAAGTTCAACGCGTGAGCACGAATGGGCTGCCGGTGCCGGAGGGGCCATGACCGGAGCCCGGGGCAGGGGTGGGGGCAATGTGCCACCTGGGCAAGCGCCAGAGCAGCAGGGCGGCGGCGGCGGCGTGCAGTGTGTGCAGCCCACCTTGCCCTTGGGGGCGTACACGGTCGGAGGCATCGTTACAATCGACCTGCGCAGCGAGGATAGCGTGAGCGTTCGGAGCAGCGAGGCACGGAAAACTGGGGTTTCAGGAGAAGGCACAAAACCGAAGGCCCTGGGGCCCCTGCATGTCTCAGCGCGACAAGAATGGTGTTTATCAACATGCTACGCAGATCTTCGGCTCGGCCGGGCGTCGCCAAAGCCCAAAACATATCCCACCAGATCGAACGCGAGGAAGCCTGGATAGAGACCGCGACGGGGTGTAGCAAATAGGAATAGCCTCGCTGTAGAGTGGCGCGACGGCGCCTCAGTTTTCATTAAACTCGTCGCTCCATTCTCTCTCCACGTGACACGACCGACGGTCTATTCTTCCGGGCTCTCCAAAATGGGCAGCGGGCACTGTGCCGTTTGTGAAATAAAATGCTGTGTATTTTGCTCTTGCGGTCTCTGCGGCGCTTGCTGCGCACAACTTCAGATTCGTGCTCCGCCGACACCGCGTTTGTTGCGTGCTGCTGTAGTGTGCCATGCTGCTGGCAGCCCCTGCTTGCTGTACCCGATTTGGCTTGAAAAGCGCCGCGCGTACAGGCCAGTTGTGGCCTCCCCACCCGCTCATGAGGCTGTTACATTCATTCCGTCACTTCTCAAGAAAACAGCGTGCGCGTTGCATGCGACAGCCGTGCCACCCTCCAACACCACAGCCATTCGGCATGCAGTCAGGGTCAGGAATTTCGACCTCTGCAGGCAACCGCACGAGCAGCTGCCAGTAAACCAAGCGAGCATGCGCCCTGCGCACGAGGTGGCGCTGTGCTGCGCCCGCGACGCAACAATCCCCTCGGCTCGTGCCCGGTCGCGGCCCGCCTCAGAGCGCCAGCGCCGCAAACGCCTCCGCCGCCGCCACCGCGTCCGCAGCCTTGTCGACGTCCGACCCCTGCCCCTGCGCACCACCGGGCTTGCCGCCGCCCTTGCCGCCAACAACCGACAGCGCCGCAGTGAGCCACTCGGGCGCCTTGATCTTCGGCAAGAGGCCGTCGGGGACGCCTGGATGCGCGGTGCGCCGCAGCGCCACAGAGATGGTGAGCGTTCGGGAATGTGTGAGTGCATGCGTGCGAGAGTGCGTGATGACGTAATTAAGGTGTGGGTGTGCGGGCGTTTTTTGTCGGCGTTTTTTGTCGGCGCGGTCTGTGTGCCCTCATTCAAGGCAAGGAGGAGCATGCAGCCACTGCGCAATGCGCCATCAGCTGCAAGTCGTGACGTCAACGGGCGCCTGTCACGCAGGACTGCTGCCAACCTTGGTCGGGCCTGCGGGTGCCCCTCACTAGCGTCCCAAACATCCCAGGTGGTTCCGGGACAACCCTCCTTTCCCCGCACACGCACGCATGCACAGCATGCCGCGCGTCCGCGCATGCAAGCACGCGCCGGGACTCAAGTGCGGATCCACGCGCCCTGCAAGCCCATGCACACGATTGCATGCGACGCACGCATGCGAAGCATGAGCGAGGCATGAAAGCCCCGGCGCGGGACGAGGCAACGCGCAGGGCCGGCGCCCTCACCAGCATATGCCAGGACCTTGCCCTTCTCCGCGTCCACGCTGATCAGCAGCGCCGCCAGCGCGTCCCCGTGCTTTGACGTGATCGCCGTCACCGCCTGCGCCAGCGCCTGTCGGGGCGCGCGGCGTTGTGGGGCGGCGGGCGGGCCAGAAAAACAATGGGCGGGCCGCGGCATGATGGACCGTAGCAGAGGCCAGCCCAATGCGCCCCAACCAACGGTGGCAGATGTACCCGGCAGGTTCTCAGCAATGACTCGGGGGTCCAGGCTCGACGCGTGAACCTGCCCTGCTGACAGTGGGCGGCCCCTGACCCCCCACCTTGGGGTCTGTGCCGACGTCAATGCGCCGCACCACGTGGCGCGCCCCCTTGGCCGCCGCCTCGTCCGCCGCCGCCAGCGCCTCCTCCGTCGCGCGCTCCTTGGCCGCGGCCGCAGCCACGCGCTGGGCCTCCAGGACGCGGCGCGCAAGGGCGGCCACGTCCTCCCTAATCGCCGCCTTGGCCGCCGCGGGGATGACGGCCACGTCGACCTGCCGGGGCGCGCGGGTTTGACCGGGTTGCGCGTGTTTGACAGGCGGGTGGTGACGCCTTGGTGGTGCTTGCTTGGCGGGGCAGGAGACGTGGGTCGCTGGGGCTCGTATGTATCTGACACAGGGGCGGGTGCCCCTGCCCATATGGCCGCGCCTCAAGGAGGCCTGGGGATTCAGAGCGCTTGCCAAGCACGCCAGGCACGCACGCAGCACCAGCCGCGTGGTTGAAGGCTTCAACAACCACTTAAGAGCGTGGAGAAATGTGGATGCCCACGAGGCCCAAACGTGCGCGGAGCCCGTGCCACCCACCAAGCCCTTGAGCTCGTTCACGCGCCGCTCAAAGTCGGGCGACGCATCGGGCAGCTTCCCGACCTCCGCCACCTCAGCGGCCAGCCGCTCGCCCTCCAAGATCGCGGCCTTGGCGTCGGCTGCGGTAAAGGCGACGATGCGGCGGACGCCCTTGGCAATGCCCTCCTCGCTGATCAGGGCGAAGGCGCCCGCCTGGTGTGTCGGGGTGGTGGTGGAATGCATGGTATGTGAGTGTGTGGTGGGTTTGCGTGTTTAAAAATGTGTGTTTGTGTGTGCATGCGCGTCTGCATTTGTGTTGATGTGTGTGCGGTTGGGGGTGCATCTGGTCGTGCGATCCTTGGAACAAGGCAGATTTGCAGTGCAGTGATGACCGCGGACGACAGGCCCACAAACACGCTCACGAGTGCGCAGCTGCTGGATCATGTTGCAGAGGACACATGCGTTGTGGACCGCACCTCTGCAGTGTTCTTGAGGTGTGTGCCGCCGCAGAACTCGACGCTGTACGCCAGGTTGGCCTCCTGCCCGGGGGCAGCCAGCAGCTGCTCCACGCCGCCGCCGGGGCCGATGGCCACCACGCGCACGGGGTCGGGGTACACCTGGCGGCAGTAAGCAGGGTGTCAACGTGAGGATTAGGGCCGGCACGGCATGAATGCAGGCTCACAGGTGGAATTCCAAGGCTGATGTGAAGCAGGATGTGCACAGGGAGTGCGAGTGTAAGGAGGGGCATGAGGGGCAGCTGCTGTGACCACAGATGGAGAAGGGGAGAGAAGGGAAGAGCGCATGCGCCCCAGCTGTGGCGCTGCGGGGCTCCCACCTCCCCAAAGACGGCGCGCAGGCCCTTGATCGCCTTTGCGTCCCCAAGAGACACCTGCAAGGTGGACGGGTCGGAGATTGGGCGCACACAGCGTCAAGCACTGATGCTGCTTGGGCGGCTTGCACTGCGAGGCCAGGACTCTCCTCGGCACCGGCGCGTTTGTTGTAATCGAAAGATGACGTCGAGCCCACTACATGTCAATGACGAGCCCAGATCTTGCAGATCCCCCAGATCCCCCAGATCTTGCAGGTCTCTGCTGTCCAACAAGGCCGCACCTCCTTGCTGCTGACGGGCAGCCCCCGCGCGACCCAGTCCCTGCAGATGGCCTCCACCCGGCCCAGCTTGTCGGCCTCCACGGCGCCGTTGTTGCTGAAGTCAAACCGCAGCCTGGAGGTTACAGGGCGAACGACGGGAAAGGGGTGGGGTGAGTGCCAGGTCGGCGGGAAAGAATGCAAGGTGTCCTCCGCCAATACACGACTTGCTTTGAAGCCATCTGAGATTCCTGCCGCAGCGTTGCAGCCGCAGGCACACGCAGCTCGTTGCGCGCCCTCCGCGCCTCCGGACGCTGCACGCCCTAGATTTTCTAGATAGCCGACTGCAGCGGTCTCAGGCGCAGCGGCCACGCGAGGCGCCCGCGCAAAAACCATGCCCCCTTTGTTGGCCCCTTGAACCAGCGTTGACCCACTTGTCTGGGGCCACAATGGAGCCCTTCTGGTCAATGTGGTCCCCCAGCACGTCCCTCAGCGCCCAGTTGAGGACGTGGGTGAAGGTGTGGTTGGGTATGATGCGGCCGCGGCGCTCGTAGTCCACCTGGAGGGATGTGGTGGTCCAGGTTCGTCAAGCATAGCGGTGTGCAGCGGCGGCGGCAGCGTGCGGGCCCTTTCAATGTCACAAACCAGAATTTGGGAACACTGAATGGGGCCACGGCGTTCAGCTGGAAAACAGCTCATGCTTTAGACTCCCAAAGCTGCAGGCTCAGGCTTAGTGGGCAGCCCGGTACGCATGCAGAGAAGTCTCTTAGTCAATGCTGCTGAGTCAAGCCCTGCCCGCCATGCACACAATGCACACACACGCACGTGAGCACGCATACCGCCACATTTCCAAGAGACATGCACACACATACACATACACACACACACAACCGTGCATGCATGCGCACGCACCCACAACCGCGGCCCCTACCTTGACAGTCACGCTGTCGCCGACGCTGACGCTGGCGCCGGGCGCCGCCACGCCCACATGCAGCACGTATCCCGCGGCCACCTGGATGAGTCATGCATGATGGGCGCGCGGGGCGCAGCCGCTTTAGCGTGCCACCACAAGTTGTCGTCGCGCATCACGCCCGCGCCGGCCCCGTTGCGCGGCGTGCAAGCTGGGCTGCGTGCGCAAGGGCACGGTGGCGCGTTGCTGCGGACGCGGCTGGTTGCGGCGCGCTCGTGAGGGTTTGTTCTGGTCCGGTGTGTGTCGCACCTGGCAGTCCCCAATGTCGATTGAACCCGAGGGGCCGACGATGGAGCCGGTGTCGCCCACTTGGCCGCCGGACTCTGGGGGTGTGGGAGCGAGTTCCAGCATGGGGGCGTGGGTGGGGGTCGCGTCAGGTGACCGAGAGGCGAGTGTACCAGTCCCTAGCAGCAGCGGCTGGCCCAACCGGCCGAGGGGAGGCCCCCCGGCGCCGGCTTGCGGCAGCCAGGCCCCGCGCGAGCACGCCCCAGCAGCGGCGACGTCCGACCGGCACACGCCCGCGGCAGCGCGGTTGCAAAAGCATCGCCGCGGGCGCGCCCCGCACCCGCGTAGAAGGAAGTGTTGTCGACCACGAGCCCTAGCGGGCTGCCCTCCTCCAGGGCCGCGCTGCTGTCGACGTAGCCCCCCGCGGTCAAAATGGCCAGCACCTGGGAGTTGTATTCGAATCCAAATAGATGTCACCGACAGATGGGCGGGGGGGCGACACGGCGGCGTCAGCACAATGGCGCAGAGTGGGCGATGGGATGGTGGGAATCGGGGAGCGGCAATTCGGTGCGGCTGAGGGCAGCCGCGCTTTCACGAAGAGCAGGCAACAGAGCGCTCTCGGCCGTGCGCCGCAGATAGCAAGCCAGCGGCTTCTCCCACCTTTGCGTCGGCGTCGATGGTGCCGTACTTGGGGGCGTCGTTGGTGAGGGGGACGGCCCGGGCCTGGAGCCAGCCGGTGGCCTCTGCCTCGAACTTCAGGGTCACGCCCTGGATGTTTTAGGTGGGGGCCGATGAGGCGGGGCCGGCGCGGGCGGGGTTGTCGAGCCAAGGTTCTGGGCAGCCCAGGCGCGTCATGCTGTTGAGGCGGCTGGCGCCGGGGTAGAGGACTATGACCAGGCAAAGGCATGAGCGCGCGTCTGCCACAGGGTCCCGAAACCGGGAGAACACCCCCCCGGCCCGCCCCCTGGCCCCCGCCGCGCAGCTCTGAGGGCCGCCCCCGCTCACCGCCGCCTTCTTGCCGGCGGCGCGGCTCTTCTCGCGCGCCTCGTCCATCGCGGCCTCAAAGCCCGCGCCGTCGACGCGCAGGCCCGCCTCCTCGGCCATGAGCTGGCGCGGCGTGGATAATGAGGTCAGGGAAAGCGTGGTTCAGGGCGCCTTGAGGGCTGCAATCTTCAGCAGTCACCCGCTTGGTGACCCAGGCGAGGGCAGGCGACCTCAATGACGCTGCCTCCCGCCAGGGGCTCGCCGGCTAGCGCCACACGCCTTGCCGCTCGCCTGCGAGGGGTTGACCGGTCAAACGCGGTCAAACGCGGCGGCTGTGCCGCGGAAACCCCCAGTCACCCGCACCTGGGTGAGGTCGAGGGGGAAGCCGTAGGTGTCCCACAGCAGGAACGCGTCGTGCCCGCTCAGCACGCCGCCCTGTCAGCGAGAGAAAGTTGATTGAATGGGGGTGTGTGAGCCATTGCGCGTTGACGAGGAGAGACGGCTTGTCTGAGCGCGCGTGCATCTGAGTGGTCTCGAAAGAGGGCACATGCGCCGAACGGGTTGGCTGACCGCCGGTGAGGGGCGGGGGCGGCGGCGCGGGCCGGGAGTTGCCTGTGGGACGTCGGCGGGGGCCCCGGGAGCGCTCGCCTGCGCGGTGGCTGCGGCCTTCTTGAAGCGCTCAATGCCCTTGACGAGGGTGCGGCTGAAAGACGCCTCCTCCTCCTGCAATCACAAGGGGGAAGGGGCGAGACGTGAGGCGCGGACGGGCACGGGCTTGAGGTCGGCCTGGCGAGTGAGCGCAGGGGCTAATTGCCGAGGCGGAGCCTGCCGCGCGTCCCAGGACCTGGAGCAACTCAGAGCACACCATCACCCCGTCCCCGCACGTCTGCAGGTGCGGCCTCCGCCCCCGCCCACCCCCCCCGACCGGCCCCTCGGCCGCCCCCGGCTCCGCAGGGAAAAAAATAACCGCCCGTGTCAAGAAACGCCGTCTTCGCCAGACCCATCCGCTTCCTGCACCCAAACGTTCCGAAGCGCGCCGCCCCGCAACCGCGACCGCGCGCGCCTTGATGGTGTCGTGGATGGCATCCCGCGCCTTGACCAGCTCGGGGTACGTCTCCCCAAAGTTCCTGACCACCACGTCCACCAGCTTGGCAAAGAAACCCTCCTGCGCCCCCAGCTTCTCGCGCCCGTAGCGCACCGCGCGGCGCAGGATGCGGCGCAGCACGTAGTCGCGGCCGTCACTTTGGGGGGCGCAGCGGCAAGGAGCGGGTCCGAAGCGAGCGGAAGCGTGAGCGCGCGGATTCATTGATGCGTTCTGGAGGGCAATGATGGGGGCAGGCTTGGGGGCTCACGCGACTGAATGTTTGATCCCTTGCAACGGACAGAGCTGGATTGATGGCGCCAAAAAGCGGCCAACAGCCAAGGCCCCGGCTGCGTGAACCTCTCGCGTCTTCTAACATGCAGGCCTCGCTGCAGACACGCACGCCTGCAGGCACGCGCGCAAGCTTTTGCCCGCGCAGTCCCGCCCCCGCACCCGCCGGGCCGCGCGCCGTCGGCGATGGAGAAGGAGAGGGTGCGGATGTGGTCCGCCACCACGCGGTACGCCATGTCCACGCCATCGGTGTCGTCCTTGCCGATCTGCGGGGGACGAGAGCGCAGGATAGCACACGTGAGGGCGGAGCGGAAGCTGCTGTGTTACTAGGAGGTGTGGTCTGGGCGGCTGCTCGGCGGTCAACGGTGGGCCAAGGGGTTTGATTGTTCACATCGCAGCGGGTGGGGGTGCTTGGCAGCCCGAGTTTGGACGCGTAACAAAGCAGCCACAAGCTCTGCACCTCGGAGGGGCACCCCCCCCACCAAAGCTCTACGAGACTAGAAACACCACACATCAATGTCCCCTGATTCAACTTTTGATTTTACTCTTCAACAGGCGGCATGCAAGGATTGCCCTTCCCCCTGCTAACACAAAGACACACATGCACACAAGCACACGCACAATTGCAGAACACACACGTGCACACACACATACACACACACATTCACACCCACATCCCCGCACCTTGTCAGTGTACTCCCTGGCCCCGGTGATGGCCCTGATCTCGTCGAAGATGGGCATGAACAGGTCGGTCGCGTAGTTGGACATCTTGCCCTGGGGTGGTGACGGCGCGATGTGCGGCGTGCGTGACGTGTGCGTGTGTGTATTGTGTGCGTGTGTGTGTGTATGTGGGGGGGGGAGCGTCGTAATGCACAACAATAGTTGTGAGAAAAGACTTGGGGAAGTGAACCGAGATGGTTGTGAGGCAGCAGAGCTTGAGGAGCGCTGAGCGACACACGAGTCCCCTCTGCCTGACAGCGCTGCAAAGCCCGCCGAGGCTCGCAGGGCACGCGCCAGGCCCACGCTATGCTCATCTACCGCAGACTTCCACACGACCTCTCGATGCCGTCACGCAAGTCGCGCGTGTGGTGCCCCTCCCCCGCCCCCCCGCCCCCACCTGCAGCACCGAGGTGACGCGCTCCAGGCCCATGCCGGTGTCGACGTGCTGCGCGGGCAGCGTGATGAGGGAGCCGTCCGCCTCCCTGTTGAACTGGATGAACACCAGGTTCCAGATCTCAAGGACATTGGGGTCGTCTGCAGCACGTCGGCGGTTCAGGATTTGGTGTGGTTGGTGAGCTTGGGGTTGAGCGCGTTGTGTTGGGTTGTGGAGGGCGCGCATGCACGTCACGTGTTGCTGTGTCAAAGCACACAAAGGGATGCCAGTCTGGGAGGCGGCGGCGCGCTGAAGAGGCACGCGTTGCAGGCCATTTCTATGGACAACAAGGGTCCGCATATTGATGCGTTTGAAGCCGACAGCACGCACCCATGTTGACGAGGTGCGCGGCGTCGCGGCCGCCGCCGATGCGATCGAAGTGGATCTCCGTGCAGGGGCCGCAGGGGCCCTGGTCCCCCATCTCCCAGAAGTTGTCCTTGCAGCCAAAAGGCAGCACCTGTGTGTGTGTGTTTAAGTGTGTTTGAGTGTGTGTGTGTGTGTGCATGCGTGAGTGTGTGTGCGTGCGCGTGTGTGTGTGTGTGCATGCGTGTGTGTGTGTGTGTGCGTGCGCGTGTGTGTGTGTGTGTTTGAGTGTGTGTGTGTGTTTGTTTGCTTGAGTGTGTGTGTGTGTGTTTGTTTGAGTGTGTGTGTGTGTGTGAGTTTGAGTGTGTGTGTGTGTGGAAAAGGAGAAAGAGTGCAGCCCTTGCTGGTGGTACTGCTGGTGGTGGCAGCGCGACAGAAGGGACATGAGCAGCAGCTCTGAGCATCTGCTTGGCTGCATAACACTCGGCCAGCTGGCCTTGGCAGCTCGTTCAGCACCCTATAATTCAGGCAGACCGTGCCGCACACAAGCGCCAAACACCGAGCTAACCACACGCACCCACCGACACAGGCACACACACACACACAGGCACATGCACAGGCACACACACACACACTCACACGCACGCACACACAAACACACACATGCGTGTGCGCACCCTCTCAGCCGGCAGGAACCTGAGCCAGATGGCCTTGGCCTCCTCGTCAGCCGGCAGCCCCTGCTTCTCGTCGCCGCCAAAGTACGTCGCGTACAGCCGCTCCCCCGGCAGCTTGTACACCTGGGCCCCGCGGCAGGCGTGCGTGACGACTCGGACGCGGGCGACGCAGCGTGGCCGGCTGGCCGCTCCCCTCGTGCTAGGCTCCCGGGCTGCTGTGTCGGGGGCCGGCCCCACGCCTCGTCGCCGCTCTCAGATCCAGCTGGAACCAGATCGCGCCTCGCCTCGCCGCGCTTCGCCGCCCCCAGATCGTGCCCCACCTGCGTCAGCAGCTCCCAGGCCCAGCTGATGGCCTCCTCCTTGAAGTAGTCCCCGAAGGACCAGTTGCCCAGCATCTCGAAGAACGTGTGGTGGTACACGTCCTTGCCCACGTCATCCAGGTCGTTGTGCTTGCCGCCTTTTATGGGTTGGACAAGTGAACACGTGGCATCGCAAAGGGGTGAACACGGCAGAGGGTAAGTTGAGGTTGGCTCGAGAGGCAAAAATGTGCGGTTTTGGGGGGCAGCCGGTTCCGGAGAGCTGCTGCCTCAGCGGGGACCCATGAGATCCGCCGCAAGCGGGATAGCTTGAAGCGGCGAGCGTGGGCTGCTGTGCCGCCCCAGCTGCCCCCGGCCGCGATCCTTGCCCTGCGCTGCGGGCAGCCGCTGCTCTCGAAACAGCGTCGCCCCAGCCGCAGCCCGCGCAGGCCCGTGGTGGACGCACCCGCGCGGATGCACTTCTGGCTGTTGCAGGCGCTCTTGAGGCGGCCCATCTCGCTGTTGGGGTCCACCTAGGGATGCAGGGCCGGCCCATGAGAATATGGATGTTCACGGCGTGGGCGTTGGGCGCACAGTGCAATGGCTGCGCTGCACTCAACATGGCTGCGGTGGCTTGAGGCCCATTGCAAAGCTTCAGTTGCCGTGCCCGCCTGCGATAGCAGCTGGGACTGACGAGCTTCTGCTGAGACGGACAGCGGGCCCAGGTTGCTCGCAGCTCGCTGCCGCCGCGCAGTAGGAAGGCGTGCCAAACGGCTGCGACACTGCCGCAAGCCTACCGCAAGGGGCACGCTCAGGAAACCTGCAGCTGGCCACGCACACAGCAGCTTCGCTTCACCAGGAAACGCGGCCCAACCAGCCTCCTGCTGCCCCTAGGTAGACGGTAGCTGCCATACCCGCACCCAAGTGCAGCTGCTGGTGCTGGCTGCCAACTAGGACCCGCCTCGCCCGCGCACCCACCGTGCCCAGGAACACGGGCTTGAACTGGTTCATGCCCGCATTCGTGAACAGCAGCGTTGGGTCGTTCAGAGGCACCTGCGATCATGGCCCGCATAGGTACGCGGTAGGAGTAGGCGAGAGGGAGCCGGCGCCGACCGACCAGGCTGCTGCAAAGGGTCGCATGCATGTTGCGGTGGGGCGCGGCGCGCGTCTGCCCTTTCTGCAGTGCGGTACCCCTACATCACCCCTGCCACTTACGACTGCGTTCGAGGGCCAGTACGTGTGGCCCTTGCTGACGAAGAAGTCATTGAACGCCTTGCGCACGACGGCTCCGGGCCATTCGGTCGCCATGGTGGGCGGCCTGCAAATCAAGCGCAAGATCGACGCGCCTCAGGACACAAACGGGTGCTGCACCGAGTCAAAAGGCTCTATCGGGCCTACTGAGCCTTCGAAGCCATGCCAATTGGCCAGCCAACCAGCGGCCCAGGTATGGCGATCTGTCATCACGCTCACTTGTGGGCTGCTCACACAAAGATCGTTGTCTGCACGAGTATGCAATCCTCTCGCCCAGAACCAGATCGCTTTGCGTCCTCAAGACCTCTGAAACCGTGTTGCGAAATCGCTCTGCCTTGAAGGCAAAGCAAGTGGATTGCAGGCAAGCACTTGTCTGCTTTCACCGCCCGCATCAACAGCTGGAAGCGGCGCGGCCTGTGCAGCAGCTGCGAAGGTACTTGCTGGTCTGCTGCTTGACTGCTTGTAGACTGGCCCCCGTAACGAGTGCTCGATGTGCCTTGATCGCGCTTCCATGGCATGCCTCAAGCAACACCAAATTCAGCTTGGCTGTCGACGCAACCAGCCTGCTTGCCTGGCGTCATCTGTCATCCCTGCTGCCTAGCCATTCGTCTCCTGGGATCGGATGGCTGTTGTGTGAACTGTACTGCTGATGTGCTCCTTACAATTGAGGGGTGCTCATTCCCCTCCTTTCTGCTGCGCCCGCCGACGCCCCCTCGGAGCCCTGCCGCGGGCGCCCTTCTCGCCCCCCGGCGCCGCTGCCGCCGCCGCCGCCTCGGGCAGCAGCTGCTTGTCCAGCAACTTCTCCAGGTGGGGCGTCACCCCGACCGCCGCCTTGAGCGCCGCGTACTCCCCCCACATCCGCCGCCGCTGCGGCGCCGGCGGCGGCGTGCGCAGGCGGACGGCGCGGATGAGCAGGTTGCGCGGCGTGTGCTCGCCGCTGACAAACTCGACGACGTCGACCCTGCGCACGAATGCAGGTGTTTGTGACGAATGTAGGTGGGTATGACACAACTTGAAGGGAGTGATAGAAAGAAGGGCCCAGGGACAGCCTGGATCACATGTCCCAGTGCAGGTGAATGAAGGGCCGCTGCATTTTGGTGATGTGGATTCGTGGCATGGAAGATATGCACCCCAGAGCACGCAGCCTGCGGAGCCGAAGGCAGCCCCACAGCGAGCCACACCGGCCCACCTGTACCCTGCCACCCTCAGCAGCTGCGCCCTGAGGGCGTCCGTCAAAAGGTCGAGCCACCGCTGCCGCAGAATGCCGTGGCGCAGCAGCGGCGAGAAGAGAGCGCCCACGCCGCCGGCGCCCGCCACCTCATCCCCCTCCTCCTGCGCCTCCTCGGCCCCGCTCCCAGCGCCCCATCCGGCCTCGCCGTCGCTGGCCGCGCTGCCGCCGTCGGCTGAAGGCAGCAGCCCAGGAAGCGCGAACCCCGCCGCTGCGCCGAGCGCCCCCGGCAGGACCCCGCCGCTGCCGCTGCCGCCGACGGCCGCGGCCCGCGCGGCGCGCGTGTACTGTCTGTGGAGGTCTTTTTGGCAGCAGGGGACAGACATGATGACGCGCGCCCCCTGGGACACACCCAGCGCCAGGGCCTCGTCTGCAGAAGGGTGCAGTATAATATGGACAAGGGAAAGGCAAGGTTTCAGGTAACTCGGCTGGGAGAAGCGGCGAGGCGCTGCAGGGGACGCAAGCGGCTGCAGACTCGCAGATCGCTGGCGCTGCGGGGGCCCCGTGCCGAAACACGGGGGTCCCGAGGTGGGATCCATGAGCCCAGCGCCGACGCCGCAGTGCAGACGAGCGCAAAGGAGACCTGCGCAAAGGAGACCTGCGTGCAAGCCGAGGGGCCCGGCCCGCCGTGGCGGCCGCCGCACCTGTCGCGGTGTCGCAGGCGTGCAGCGCGAGCACGATGTCCGGCGGCTGCGGCGGGCGGAAGCTTCTGATCGGGGACGCGACGAACGACGCGGCGGGCGCCATCCCTAGGTCTTGGCAGTACCTGAGAGGGGGGGACGGGTTTGTGAAAGTCAGTTTCGGACATTGGCGAGGGTGGGGCCGGGCTCGAGCGGAGGAGGTCGTAAGATAGGGTTGGGGGAAGGGGTGACGGTGGGGTCAGGGTGGGAGCATCAAGGGTTGGCAGGCGCCCATGGAGCCCTCGGGCCCCCGCGTTCGGACGGGTGGAGGCCAGGGGGGGTGCTTTGGCTCTATGCACCGCAACTTGTGTGTCGAACCGGACCCTGAACCCGGCCTGCTTCGCACCCGGCGCTGCGCCCATCCGGCGCTTCGCCGCGCCGCTTGGCTGGCCCACAACAGCTTGCTAAAGCACCAGCACTCGGCCCCATTCGTGTACCCCCACGCGGCACGGCCCCCGATCTCGGGGCCTATGGGGAAGGAGCGCGCGAAGGTGTCGCCCCAACCCCCCACCCCACTTGGCCTGGCCCCAGGCAGCGCGCCCCCCGCACCTGTTGCTCCGATCCATCAGCGCCGCGTTGGTGTCTACGCCCGTCAGCTCGACGCGCGCCCCCTTCACATTAGCCAGGTAATGGTAAGCGCCGAACGTCAGGTGCGCGCTGCCGCAGCCGCAGTCCAGCAGCCGGACTGCGCCGCCGCCGCCGCCGGCCTCGCCGGCGACCACCGGCGCGGCGTCGGCGTCGGCCTCGGCGGCCGAGCGGTCCGGGGCGGCGTGTGCTGCCGCGCCGCGCTCCGCCAAGAGGCGCTCCAGCTCCCCTGTGTGCACCAGCAACTCTACAAACTTGTTGATCTGGACGAATTTGTCCTGTTGGCATCAATTGTTCACAATCAAGTGATGGGACGTTGGCGGCGTCCGGGTCAGTGACTACGTTGTGCCAACGGTCTGGATGTTGCTTGCCCAATCGAGCCGCTTGCCCTGGCAGGGGACGAAGCGCACGAGCGACCCCGAGTCAATCCTCCCAGCCCCCACGCGCGCAGCACGTGCAATCCCGGAACGCGCCTGCATGCCGGCCCGCACGCGGCCGTCGGAGGTCTGCAGGCCAATTTTCTGTAGGAAGGGGTCCGGCACATCGCCCGGAATAAGCAGCGCCTTCCGCCTGTCGTGGCGCGCCGCCGCCGCTTGCCCGGCCCCCTCCTGCCCGCCGGCCCCCGCCCCGGGCCCCGTCGCAGCCGGCGGCGGCGGCGGCGGCGGCGCGGCGCGCTGCACGAGGGCGCGGCCGCGGCGCGAGACCTGGACTGTCAGGCCAGACCCCTCCGAAGACTGCAGCGAGGCTGAGGACCACGGCAGCTGAAGCAGGGCGCGCAGCTGCTCGGCGGCTTCCTCCTGGGACAGGTTCTTGGTCGTGTCCTGCTATTTCGGGGCCGGTGGGAAGGGATTTGGTGTCAACCCATTTTGCACATGATGCTGAAGTTGGTTGTGCATTTGGTGCGATGGAGCAGGGCACAGCACGTGCACACACGAGGAGAGGACCCCGATTATGGGCCCATCTGCTGCGGCCTGTCACCCTTCCACATTGCCGCCGCTTGCCTGGCGCGCGTCCAGCAGCGAGAGCTGCAGCAGGCGCCGGCCCTTCAACTCAACTGGCCGCAGTGTCGCCTGCGACGGGGTGTGCGCACGGCTGATTGAGGGTTGAGTGCCTGCCTGACGCGTCCCTGGTTGCCAGCTTTTTGTAATAATAGCATCACCCCGCACGGGTCCCTGCATCGCAGCACAGCGACCATGTGCTTGGATGCAGCGGTGGACCTTGCCACCTTGCATTATCAACACAGGCGCCGTGCTAGAACAGCAGCAGCAGCTGCGGCCGCGCTACCCCACCTGCCGGTACGGCATGCCCTCCCCCACCCTGCCGCGCAGCAAGAGCTTCACTAAGGAAGCCGCAGCTTCCTCCGATCCTGCGGAGCCTGCCAGAAGCTGCTCCCGCCAGTCGCCGACAGCAGGGTCAGCGCGTTTTTTGTTGTTGGCGGCTGGTGACCCTGGCTGACTGTGCGCCGCGGCTGGGGCGGCGCCATCTGCTGCTGCCGCTTGGCTGATGCTATTGACTGCATATGTTTGGTGGCGCTTGTCAGAAATTCCACGACGGCCCGCGCGTGCAGCAGCGGTGGAAATGGCAGGTGCAGCAGCAGCAGACGGCGGCGACGGCGACACAGCTGTTGGCCGCGGGCATCTCAACGGCCACCGCTGCATCTTGATACAGCTATATGTGGCAATACGTGGTTGATATGAACTATCTGATTGACATCAGATCGTGCAACCTTTTGGTCGCCGTGGCCTTGTGAACGTGGCGCGAGGAGGCTAAGTATGGAAAGCAATGACCGGTAAGTTTATACAGTGCGCAAGCACTGTATGGTCAATTCGATTCATTCGCGTCACTGGCGTCACCGCAGCGTCAGGTGGCTGGCGCGTGCATGCGTTGAACCCCTGTTTGGACCAGAGCAGAGCGCCAGCGCTGCGCGCTAGACGTTTCATTTGATAGCACCACATGTATGCACCAAGCCGAGCCCTTGCGCTGGCTTCCGTGTGAAGCCGTTGCGAGGTCAAATCGCCGCATTGACCAGTGGTGTGGCGGCCGCATACACCGCATCGCTGTGCTGCTAGGACACCATGCAGTCTGGGTTGCTGGTACACAACCACAATAGCGATATCTGAGAATCTCACAGTCAGTGCACTGATTGGCACGGCATGGCAGTTTCTTGGTGGAGCGAGGAAGGCAGAAGGTGGTCATGTTCCACAGAAGCTGCCCAGTAGTCGCAACCGGCCACCCCAAAACCTCGCCGCGGCCCGCCCGTCCGATGCTTGTGCATGCGAATGGAAAGAATGGACACATCTTGTCACAACATGGGTGTCTCCAGGGGCACACGAACGGCAAACCTCCATTAAAGAGTGGCAGCGTGGAGCTGAGCAGGTGCCCCGGAGCACTGCTTCCCCGCGTCCGCCCAGTGAAATGCACCGCCGCCCCACACCTTGCCAGAGCCTGCAAGCGGACAGCACTTGGCAAGCAGGGTCCTGCGCATCCAAAAGCACCCCACTTGCAGGCGATTGATGGGCCGCTGCTACCCCAAGCACTTCCTCGGCCGCTAGAGGGCAAACCCCGGAACCCTGCGGCGCTAGCGGCATCCCAGCACACCAGCAACGCCTGCCGACGCTCACAGTCAGTTACAGCGTTGGTTGGGCTCCATCACAAGTACATCCGAGGCCGGTGCATCAGGTGCGGCCAGGCTGACCGGGTGTCACCTGTATGTTTTGCAAACCCAAAGCAAGGCTTGCCGTCTGCAAAGGTGGCCCGGGCAGCTGTTTAAGAGGCTGCGACGGCGTCAGCGATTACGCTCTGCGCACACAAGGTATGGGTAGTGCCGGGTGCCGGGCCTGCTGGCGCTTTGAAACAGGCTCCAGCTATTGCCTCAGGAGCGCCCAAACGCGTGGGTGGACACCGTGCAGACAACTCTTAGTGGTGTGGCGCTGCGTCAAGGCGTCAAGGCGCCGCGCATGTGTGTAGGTTTGCATATGGTGACAGAGTCTGCCATAAAAAGCTGAGGTGGTCAATCTGGAAGTCAGACAGGCAGGCATGACATGGTGGCTGCAAAAATGTACAAGAGAGCCATTCCACAGGCAACTCGGCAGCACTACAGGCTTGCAGGAGCGCACACGAGGGCAGCAGGCGAGCAGGCCCTGCTCGCGTGTTACAGACACTCAGGCTGCTCCACTCACACCGCCTCGTGGCCGTCGCTGCCGCAGGCTGTATGGCTTCTGCCTAGCGCCTGCAGCCAGCGCCGCCTGCCGCCGGAGCGCAAGGCGAGGCGAGGCGGCCGCCGCCGAGCTTCGGGGCGCACGCATCACATGGCGTCATCCTCGAGCCAGTACACCGTGATCCCTTTCACGTGGCTGTTCAAAACGTTGCACTCGACAGCCATCGCGGCGGTGTGATCTGGGCCGCCGCCCCGCGGCACCAGCCTCAGGCGCAGGTCCCCTGCCGCGCCGCCCCGGCCGCAGCCGCGCGCGCCGCCGGCGCGTGGGGAGGCGCAGGGGGAGGGGCGCGGCGAGGCGCCGAGGGCGCAAGGGCTGCGTGCGGCGCCCGAGCGGGGGCTCGCAGGCGGGCTGTGCTGCGCCGCAAGCGTAAGGTGCGGGATATTGGAGCCGTCGCCACCGCCGCCGCCGCCGCGGGAACTGCCGCACGGGCTGGCGGGCGGGCTGCGCCAGTGCGCGCAATCGGCGCCGCCCACGGCAGCGCGGGGGCTGGCGGGCGGGGTGCGGCGGTGCGCCTCGACGCTCGGCGCGCGCCAGCGCTGGACCGCCGCGCCGGCCTTTGGGCTCAATGGCGGACTGTGGGTTGGGGCGGAGAGGCCGGCAGCCGCAGCGACCGCTGCCGCCGCGGCCGCCGCTGCGCTGCCGCCTGGCGGCTCGCTGGGGCCCACGGCCGCCGGGGGCGCCGAAGTTACGTCGGTGCCCGCGTCCTGCACGCGCGGGCTTGCCGGCGGGCTTGGGGGGGCGCTTCGGGCGCCCCCTGCCACTGCCGCGTATGAAGGCGGCTTGGGCGCGACGGCATGCCCTTGCTGCTGCTGCTGCTGCTGCTGCTGCTGCTGCTCCTCCTGCTGCTGCTGCTCCTGCTGCTGCTGTTGATGTTGCTGCTGCTGCCGGCCGTTCACAACGCTGCCGGCGCTGACGGCAAACTCCGACAGCTGCCTCAGGTCTGTGTTCCTTGGAAGGAAGGCCACAACCCCCCTCTTCAGCCGCCGACTTTCCTGCTGGCGCTCCTGCTGCCCCTGCCGCTGCTGCTGCTGCAGCTGCTGCTGCTGTCCCCGCCGCCGCGCAGCCGCGCCGCGCGCCACAATGCCGCGGCTGATTTCGAGCAGCTGCGCGGTCGACACCGGCAGGCCCTCTAGGGGGTGGTGAATATCAAACGTGTCGCTGAAGCGGTAGTGGGGGCCGCCCCAGGGCGGCGACAGGAAGACGCCGTCGGCAGCCAGGGTGGGGGCGACCCTGAAAAAGTCTGGACGGGGGGAGGGTGTGCGAAGGGAAGTGCATGGGGCCGCCTGGGGCAGCGGGCAGGGCGGGGCGAGCCGGGACTGCGAACCCCTGAACCCTACAGCACCTTTGGTGGCTCACGGCCTGAAGGTTGCAGCACAGAATCGACATCAAACAGCAGCGGCGCGCCCGTCGCCGGCCGTGAGCCGCACGGCCTGCTTCATAAACGGCTGCCGTGCCTCCCCTCTGTCTCACACCCCGAGACCCCTGCCCATTCCCTTGGCCCATGCGCGCGTTTTCAAACGCAAGGACGCACGCATGTGCGCGCACACGCATGCATGACGAATATGTGTGCGAGAGCGCACATACACACACACACACACACACACACACACACACACACACACACACACACACACACACACACACACACACACACACACACACACACAGAGAGAGAGATGTACAAACAGATGGTGTACACGCACACACATGCAACCGCGGGCTATGCCCACCTGCGCAGATGAACTCAATCTTGTGCTCCACCCCATACATGGCCGCGTTGTGGCGCGCCATGGCCAGGCGGTCGGCGGAGATCTCCACAGCTATGACCTGAGATCAGCCGGTTTGGGGTTTTCAAATGTGAGAAGTTGAGCAGGCAAGGAACTCCGCTTTGAGAAGCGCCCCAGCAGGACGAAGGGGTGACCAAGTGACGAGGTGTTCGGGTTGAGTGCCGTAGGGGGCTACCAGGGCGCCGCACAGCCAGCGGCAAGGGCAGCCGGTCAAGCGCGGCCGCCGCGCCACAGCAGGGGGTCGAGACGTGCGGCGCCAACCACGCCGGCTTGCACTGCACTCACGCGCGACGCAGTCGACGCAGCGCAGGCCGCGGCCGGAAGGTGGCTCGGATCATTCGACTCACCAGGTCGCATGTCTTTGCAAACTGGATGGCGTTGCCGCCGCACCCCGCGAACGCGTCCACCATGATGTGACAGGCCGCGGTGCGCGCCTGGTGGCGCGCGATGACCTCAGGGGTCACGGAGTACCAGCCCTGGGGAGGTTAAGTTTGGCAGGCGTTCTATTATTTGCGGGCGTTTGGTTGTTACCGGCCACCAGTTGCGTTGAGGAGGACGAGAACGGCCTTGCAGGTGGGCCGGTTGGGACGGGATGCAGAACGCAAGGAACGCCCTGCGCCCCCGCACTCGCAGGCGCCTGCCAGGAGACGCCACCGCCTGCACACCCAGACACGCGTGCACCTCACGCCCCGTCTCCTCGCCCCTCTTGCAACACTTCTGGCACATCACTGCGTCTGACACACGCAATAGCCTTGTCACGCGCCGGTGCGAATACCCACCTGCACCCCTTCACCCCTGTCGTAACGCACACGGACGCACGCGAACACTCACACATGACAAACACACAACATACAAAACACACACACAAACGCACGGACGCGCGCACGCACGCACGCACACACACACACACACACGCACACCACACACACACACACGCACGCACACACAGCACACCTGCACGTCCAGCTGCGCCCCCTCGTCGAACTTTGAAAACAGGCTGTACCGCTGCAGCCAGTACTTGGCCATGTGGCGCGGCAGAAGCTTCCGCACGTAGGCAGCTGCCGCGGGCTCCATGCCGTAGTGTCTCTGCAGCTCCCGCTCCCGCGCCTGCGCCCGAGACAGCGGCCCGCCGCTGCCGCCACCACCGCCGCGCGATGGCTTGCGGCCGCGCTGCCGGTGCTGGTCCTGCTGCTGCTCGCCACGCCTTGCGCTGCCAGCTGCGTCGCAGCCACCTGCCTCTTGCCCGCCCGCGCAGCCCGCTGGAGCCGCGCCCTCCTGCCCTGCCTCTGTTGGCTCTGGGGACCACCGAATGTGCCCCGCGCCGCCCCTGCTGCCCGCCTCTGCGCCCGGCGCTTCGAGGGCAATCGTGCCGGCGGGCAGCAGCCCCGTCGTCTCCCGCCGCTCCGCCGCCGCCGCAGCGGCGCCGAGCAACACGCCCTGCTGGCTGCCGCCAAAAAAGCCACCGAAGCTCCCGCTCCGCCCGCTCAGCACGGGGCCAAAGGCAGGGGCCGGCGCCGCGCCGCCGCCGCCTTGGCC